TCGCGATAATGGTAGTTAGATTCACGCTCACTCTCAGGTCAAAATACCAAATGATGAAAATTTTGAGAGGTTTCTTGCAAAAAAATCGCGATTAGTGCAGCTCGTGTCGCTCCAATTTTACATTGAATAATAAAGCAATTAGTGATGAAAAGTAATAATTAATAAAAGTAATAATAATTATTACGTATTACCGAGTAATAGTAATAAAAAGTAATAGTAATGTATCAGCCCTATTGATCGTAGATAAACGTATGTTCCGGTGTTTCAGAAGGCCGTGTGCTTATCAATCAACATTTCCCGAAGTGTCAACTAAAACTTTGGTAATCTTCGAGTTTTTATTTTTTCGAAGTTTCTTTCTTTTTTTTGTTAAATAATGTATTTCTTGACAACACCTGAGCTTGTCCAATAAAAATGTCATTAAAATAGTAGTTGAAAGTATTAGGTTGAGGGGAAAAACCAGATAATTTGAACTATATTTCATTTTTCTTATCAACCTTCATTTTCGAGACGTTTCAAATCGTGTATCACTATTCAGCTTTCACAAATGCTTTTGAGCCATTCTGTTGTAACAACGACAAGTGGGTGTGATTGACTGATGTGATCAGTCTACTGTACTAGGTATCCCTACAGCATACCTAAAAGGATAATGTTAAAACAAATGTTATGAATAAATAACATTAAAACGAATCTCGTTGGGGTTCGGACGGACACCAGGTGGCCAACAAGCGTTCACATATACTGCGGGATAGTCTATTCATATAAGGATAACAGGGCGTGACCGGCTGATATTATCAGTGTACTCTAAGAGCACTGCGGTCTGTGCGGACCCCAGGTGTTCGTTTCAGGGTTAATTAATTATTGGAATTTTAAGACCATTAAAAACTAGCTATATGGCGCGACACTGTATAAGATTATGAGCTTTTATTCGGAGCGGAGAGTTTATATATACGGTATATATATGTCGCAGGAGAACTTAAAATCCAGGGCAATTTAAAATTCCCCTAGGGGAACTTAAAATTTGAATCTCCCCTAGGGCAAATTCAAATACCACTTTTTCCCAGGCAAAATGTTATACAGACAACTTCGAAATGATGAAAATTCAACGTCAATGCTTGGTCACTTGTACCTTATTGTATTCGGCCTACAGTGACGGAAGAAGCAGTACAGCTACCTTCTAAGCACTGTTATGGAATTGAGCGGACATATGACACATTAAAAACAAATAATGTTACAGTTAATAATCTATTCTATTGGAATGCGCCTATTGATGTAATGGTCTCTTATCAAAAATATCTTGATTCAAAAATTGCTAACGGAAAATATTGCGCATGTCTGGATACGATTTATTTTGGACCATATCGTGAGTATACATTTGACAAAGCAATAACATTTTCTGAAATAATCCAAAAACAATTTCAACCAAAAGCAAGCTCTTATCCAACATGTCATATGGCATGTGATGACGGACATAGATGTTTAGATTGGCGAGAGATCTGTAATGGAATTGTGGATTGTCTCAATGGTGACGATGAAGGAATACAGTGTGTAGTTTCAGAGTTCAATGAATGTAATTTAGAAACAGAATTTAGATGCAAAAATGGAATGTGTATCCCAAAAGATTTTGCTTTTGGTCAAATGATCGATTGTCTAGACACAAGTGACGAAACGAATGTATTTGTACATGATTATTTTGCTAGTCGATTACTTGATTGCTCTGGTCAATGGTCAATTGAGTGTGAAGAACATTACTGCCGGGAATCGAAACTGTTTACATGCGGTGACGGTACATGTATTTTAAATCCTCTTGATTATACTGGTAAATCATGTCAAAATAAACGTAATATAATCCAGATAGAATCTACATTTCTTGAAAGTTCTCTTTCATTATGTCATAAATGTAAACTGTGTGCTACAACAAATGATCTATTTTTTAAATATCTTAAGGAACAGTATAATTTAACAACAAAAGTATGCCAACATATTGCATCAGACTGCAAAAGTAATTGTACATTCTATTTTACATTTCCTTCAAAACCTGTGATGTTTCCATCTGTTCGTTTTATATATAATGGACTCGAAATATCTGCCATTTATCCCGAATTTTTATGCTATGAACAGAATATTTGTGAAGATTATATACCAACAAAAATTATTCACAATTTCGCTTGTCATAGCACAAAAGAATTTAATGGACTGGATTTCACAACATTTGGAATATTTTACAAAAGTGTACAACGAATATTTTCCATTTGTGTCTTATCCAAGATGAGACCGCTAAAAAAAAATTTCTATCAATGTAATTCAACATTACGTGTCATTTCAATCCATCGAGTTCGAGATGGAGTCGAAGATTGTTATTTAGGAGAAGATGAATTCGTTATAGAGCCAGAAATAACGAATAGTGCAGACTATTTCAAATGCCTGACACTTGATACAAATGAATATATACCTCGCAGTCGACTATTTGATGGCAGAAGTGATTGTTCAGACATGTCCGATGAAATGATGCCGTTCGTTTGTAAAGAACAAAATGACCTTGGCTGTCAGCATCTACGAGGCTTAGTTACACCTTACATATATTTTCTGTTTGATGAACTATGCAATGGTATTGTTCATTCTCAATTGATTTTTGGAAATGATACGGATGAAACGGATTGTTACGAATGGCGACGTTCATGTCGAACGAAATATGTATCATGCGATAGAAATTGGAATTGTATTAATGGACGTGATGAAGTGGGTGTAACACCACTCGCGTATTGTCGTTCGAAAGAACAAATTCATTATTGTCGTTTGCCTGAAAATGGAACACAAATTACATTACCAATTGAACAAATAGGTGATCAAATTATTGATTGCTTAGGGTCTACAGACGAACGATTCAACTATTGTCCATTAAAATATCCATTCGAATTAACACGTCGTTTTCATCGTTGGAATACTTCAGAATGTGTTCATATTTATGATGTTTGTGATGGAATTGTGCATTGTCCATATAAAGACGATGAAATTGCGTGCCCAAAAAGAAAACTTTCGAATTGTCCTCCAGGAACATTTGCTTGTGGAGGAATAACTAGACGATGTTTATCAAAAAGTGAACGATGTAATGGTAGAAGAGATTGCCGAGACATTGGGGATGAAAATGATGAACTATTTTGTGATTTAGTCCCACAACGTGTTCAATATAAACCGTTCCTATATACAGAACACAATCAGTATCCTCCACCGGGTATTCAAGATTATAGACAATTAATTACTGGCTTTAACAAACGAAATTCGTATTTGCCGGTTGGCTCTGATTTTCGTCCAATTCGAAGTGTAGCAGTACAAAATAAGCTTGGAAGCTACTGTAATCGTGGAATAGGTGTACGTTCATTAAAAGTCAAAGATGGTCATAGACGAGTAGTGTGCCTTTGTCCTCCGTCTCATTACGGCAAAGCATGTCAGTTCCAAAATAAACGTCTAACAGTTTTGATACAAATTATTGGAACATTCAATCGACATTTAATATTTCGATTATTAGTTAGATTGTTCGATGAAACAAATTTAGTTTTAGATTCGGTTGATGTTCTTCATATGCCATATCAAAATGGCACCATTAAAAATGTCATTTATTTAGTATATCCTCACAATTCATTTTACAATATATCTCTTCGTTATTTTGTTCGTATTGATATATTTTCTGTGTCAACTCAAGATGTCGAATTTCATTCGTCACGGTATTTCAATGTAAAATTCCCATTTTTACCTGTGGATCGTCTAGCCGTTCAATTGAAGTTGGATAATAAATGCGATGAAATCTGTTTAAATGGCTCACATGTAATCTATATAGACACTGTTCATCAAGATAATAAAACATCATGTAGTTCGACGTCGTTAGCATTTGAAGGACAATGTATCTGTCCTCTTGGCACATTTGGTAACGACTGTGGTGTACAAATAGACCTATGTAAAGGCGTGGAATGTTTAAATAATGGTACATGTGTGTCACTGGATATTAAGCAAATGTATTATACATGTATTTGTATTGAAAATTATTTTGGCGATCTATGTCAGTATTCGAACAGTCGAATGATAATTGGAATAAAAGAATTACATCAAGATCCTTTGTTCATACATATTCCTGTTGTTCTCGTCTATTTTGTTGACATTTACAAAAATAGTACCGTCACTTTAGTACAAGATCGTCTATTATTTAAAAACGTACCATTTAACACAAACCTTAGTATTATTTATAAAAAACAATCACCATTGCCGGCATTAGTTTTTGTTCAAACTCTTTTTAATACCCATCATGTTTATGGCTTATACTATATAGTTAGTCTTTTAAAAACACCAGTTCAATTTGTTTCGACAAATATTTTAGTTGCCAGTTTTTGTCCATATGTTGGTGAATTGTTAAGTTCAGAAATAATGTCATATTCATATTTAAAACGTGTTAAATACTATCATCAAGCATGTTTTACACTTGGTACAAAATGTTTTTTTGATGAATATTATATGTGTCTATGCGATAATGAAGCATACATTGATTGTTTTGTATTTAATCATCGAGTAAGTAATTGTACCAATCAAGGCTATTGTCAGAACGGCGGTCATTGTTATCAGCCGATGTCAGACGTCGTCGATTTTGCTTGTGTATGTCGCAAGTGTTATTATGGTAATTTATGTCAATTTACAACATCACAATATTCAATTTCATTAGATGCTCTTCTAGGATCAGAATTAACAGCTACTGAATCACTTTATGAACAATCTCATTTAATTAAGATAACATTCACATGTGTATGTGTGATGTTTATTTTTGGATTGTTCAGTAACGTGCTCTCCATAGTTACATTTGCTAGTTGTCCGAAAACACGTGAAATTGGTAGTGGAATTTATTTACTTTGGCTATGTATAATCAGTCAGTTTGGTCTTATCATCGTCGCATTAAAATTCTATTATCTGGTATTCGATTGAATGACAATTACTGGTTGTCAAATATTTGAATTTTTACTAAGTGTTCTGCCAACAACAGTCGATTGGCTAAGTGGATGTATTGCTGTTGAACGTATAATGATCGTTGTTAAAGGTTTGAAATTTGATAAGCAATTAAGTCGAAAGGTGTCTAGATTTATGATTCCATGTGTAACACTGGCTAATATTCTATTCTCATTACATGAACCATTTCATCGATATCTTATTGATGATCCTCGATTAAATGGTCTTTCTTGGTGTATAACCAAATTTAAGTCGTATTGGTTAGAAAAATACGAGGTTATCACAAACGTTCTGCTCTTAATTTGTCCATTTTTTATCCATTTAATTTCAATCATCTTATTATTAGTTATCATTGTACATCAGAAGTTAAATTCGTCTATAAATTTGCACGATATGACATACTATTCAATTTTGAAGGAACAAATACTCTTATATAAATCATTTATGATCAGTCCATTTCTAATCATCCTGTTAGAATCGCCACGTCTCATTCTAACATTTGCATTTGCATGTATTCATTTTGAATGGCAAAAATATTTATATTTAGCTAGTTATCTTATTTCAACATTGGCACTTACAACCAATCTCTTCATATATGTACTACCAAAACAAGTGTATAAAAATGAACTGAAGACGTATATAGGACGTATAAGAAAACGATTGACAAGGTGCAGTTAATGCAAAATTTCAGTGGAATTTGTTTCTAGCATTATTATACACATTCAGATACAGCTTAACAAGCCGATTACGAATAACACCTTCCGAGCTTTCAAAAGCCATTTCTTCATGGAGAAAAACTCGAATTACTAAGAGGACCTCAAAAATACCAAAAACCGTCCTCTATGGTGGAATTGACTTTTTGAGCTTGTATTGCAGGATGGAGGGTTCGAGCTATATTTTTCTAAATCAGCATTGAAAACTGATTTAGAAAAAGGTTTTCAGCTCATTTCAGAGGTAAACAGTGGTCCGCCATGGACGTTCGAACCAACGGCTGTCAACTGAGTATGACTCATTTTGTAAACCATCTAGTTTTTTGGGTGAAGGGCTATATCGATGATTCATACACCATCAGATCGGCCAACACGCCAGCTTTAAAAATATGTAGAGCTTTAAGAACTTCCGGTCTAATCGACCGATCTTATAGAAACTCTAGTCCGTTTTCTAGAATTGACTCCACCATATTTTACTCGGACTCGTTTTCAAGAGCATGGTGTACAGTGTAATTCTAAATTAATTTCCAGCTTATAGAAAATCGACCGAAAAATCACCGAGGATTTTCTAGTTTATAAAAATTCCTTGACGAATTTCCAGCTTTCTAGAAAATGTTAATTTTCTACTTTGTAGAAAATAGACTTGAATTTCCATAAATTTGATTTTCTATAAAGGTGGAGAAAATCAACTGGGGATTTTTCTAGAAAGTGGGAATTCGCTCAGGAATTTCTAGACCAAATACTTATTCATCTTTTTGTTTTGCAATCAGTGCAGGTATAAGAGCGTCACGTAAAGGCACTCATATTACGCTTAAATCACCTAAATTTTCAAGATTGTTGGAAATTCGATTTTCTATAAACTGGAAAATCCTCAAGGAATTCCTATAGGTACTCTTTGAAATTCGCCGAGCATTTTTCATAAATAATTTCCAATCTTACAGTATAATCAGTTTCTAATGCTTTCGTTGGCCAGACGATGTTTTCATCATGCCATAAGCTCTTTCATGGAAGGAAAAATCAGTGTGCATGCGGATTGCAAAATTAGAAGAAGTACACAGCAATTTTTGCTGAGAAAACATTTCTTTCTCAGATCACCTAACTTTTCCTTCGCTGTGTTTCTTAAGTCTGATTAAACGTATGACTGAAATTTGATCTCAAAGTGAAAGTGAGAAAGGCTGGTGTCTTCTTATTCATTTACTTGTGAGTTTTACTGCTAAGGTTAAGTTTACCGAATGCGAAGCATCGAGCATTCATGGTTTCTGAAAATGTACATTCATAGGCATTAGCGCTAGGATCAGCCCAAGCGTCAAAAAATAATCCAGCATCGCCCGGTTCATCTAGATTACTAGATTTTTACTCGATTGCAACTATTTGGTAACGACAGAGAAAATCTGGTAATCCGGCGATTGCTAGATTTTTTCTGGTTGCACCTATCGATTTATCGCCCGATAATCGATTGACTAAATTACTGCTAATTACACATGCAGAGGCATCTAGTTAAAAGTCCCTTTCCTACTAGTAATCTAGATGGCAACTAGTCGTGTATCGCCCGATTACAGACGAAATGTATCTACATTTTTCCCATAGGTGGTGTTTGCTTGGGAGTGCATTGTTCGAATCACTCTAGCATCCTGTGAGTGCGGTGAAATGACTGATCGATTTTGTGATTATGAGGAATTACAAAGGATTTATTCCTTTTAGATTAATTCTCTCCCTCTCTCAGAACCTGCTGTACTTATCTTGTAACATTCTTTATTTTTTCGAAATAAGTCAGTTTGAAAAAGATCGAAAACACACACACAGGAAAAATTCGAGGAGAAGAGGTGTTCATGCTAAATCAAGAAAAGAAGTGTGTATGTCTTATATACAGCAGTCTTTCTTTTATCGAAAACATTATTATTTAGTATACTCATAAAGATTAAAAGTATGCGCTTGAGGTTAAAATTTTATGCTCTTGATTTACATAACAACATACAACAAACATATCAGCAGTATCAAGAAATTTTAATCAGATAGGGAAACTGTTTTGAATTGTACTTTGACGAAAAACTTTGTTGTGTACACAGCTATCAACTATGGAGAGTCTATATCTACGAGCGGTCTCGACGAACAAGCATTTTAATATCTCTCCACAATGTTGATATGCGGTTTTTACTATTTCAGAGTGAGGACGTCTAGAACCGAAGGAAGACATCGGTGTACAAATAATTATCAGTACATCTTAACTAGTGCCTTGACGTATGAGTAGATTTCTGCACCGGACTGCAGACAGGTGGTACGTCATGCTCGACTTTTGGACACCCCGTCCTGTCCACTCCTCTGGTTTAGCATCCGGTCGTACGTCAAGACTTGTAGTCCTGACACTGTTAAAAACACTTTCCAAATGCGGACTAGTCTGGACGGGTTACTTGGACACTTCGGACTAGTCCGGACGCCGATCAACCACGTTTTTTTGCTCACTCGGGTTCTCATTAAATAGAGCACAAGCAAGAAATCGAGCATATTACTAAATCATCTCAAATTAATGGAAGCTGCCATAATAGAAGTAAATTTATACCTTTTGAGCAACGACAGTCGAAAAATTTCTCATAGAAAGGTGAGGGTTAGTTCATAAACTTTCCCGTACTGATTTCGAATGTTCAACAGAAACCATATCAGGGTAATGTTCTGAGTATCATCCAAGAGTCGATTCCTAAAAGAAATTTTTTGATTATCTACTCTCTTGATATCTATCCCGCAGGAAAGTCAAGACCTTTTCTCAGGTTTAAAAAGACAGATGAAATATATGTAATGAAGTATATTGATTACGAATATCAGCTTTGAAAACCAAAACAAGCGTTTTTTTCTTTGAGAAAAAGACTGCAAAATATTATGACTATTATTCGTGCAGAAGGAAAAAATATCAGAAAAATCCGACTGTTTCATGAATTTAATCCAAGGGGGAAACATCTGATTTTTGAGCTTAAAAAATCGATTTAAAGCGAAAATCTCGAAAAATCGCTTATGATATTATTATTTGTTTTCTTTACTTTCACTATATATGATTTGTACAAACAAAGCCGGTTCCGCACTATTTATCACAGTCTCTTCACTTGATTTCCCAAACAAATCCCAGGAAATCGGAAAAAATCGATGAAAAGCCTCAAAATCAGCTGTTTCCCTCTTGATTTAACCGCATCAAATTGCCATTGTGCACACAGCTAATGATGGTAAGTTATGTATGATATTGCCAACCGAGTTTCCTCGTCATTCCACCGTTACAGTAAATTATTGTTTATGACTTAAATATTTTTTTAATTCTTGTTATTGTTTGTCTACATATGGGACATTGCTTATTAGTATTCAATAATCCTTGACCACACTGGATACATGATATCAAATGACCACATTCCAAAAATACACAATTACTGGAATCGCCCATACATATTTTGCATAAATCAGAATCATTTTCCTCTTCATAAAAGCTTTGACGTTCGTGTTTTTTATCCCGAGACCTTTCACAGGAATCAGATGATGAACCTAGAAACAAACAATGAAAGAACGCTTTTGGTAATGATTATTCAATGAGAAGACTACGTTCTCCCATTCTGAAAGCAAAAAATGATGAAATTTTTAAGTTTAACATGGTTATATATAGAGTGAAGGTTGCTCTAAAACATAGGAGTCATTCTGACCTTCAACAGATAAAACTTGGGAAAACTTGTTTTGTTTTTAGACAGTCGGCAACGTTTTTCAATCACAGAGGCATATACAGCAAAGTCTTTCTTCGAAATGAGATGTCTCCCACTTACAAGAAATTGTCCGCTCAAAAAAGTTGAGCTAGGATATCTAGTTTACTAATGAGGAAACCTGTTGAGGTTATAAATCGCTTTTGAACTCGGACTACTTGTATCTTGTAGACCTCAGTGAGTAGTGAAATACCCTAAGTTGGTTCATCCCCATGGTGCTTTGTTGCTGAGATATTGAATTTTTAGTCAGT